TTCCTCCCATATATCTCTCCCCATTGTTCCCATCCCTCAGTTGTTCCCATGTTCCTATATATCTCTCCCCGTTCCTCCCATATATCTCTCCCCATTGTTCCCATCCCTCAGTTGTTCCCATGTTCCTATATATCTCTCCCCGTTCCTCCCATATATCTCTCCCCATTGTTCCCATCCCTCAGTTGTTCCTGGAGGTGGAGACAAGCCTGGTCCTGCTCAAGGTCGGTCAAGAGCACGTGTTCTGCCTCACCGACTTCCTGAGTGCCCTCAGCCGCAGTCTGCAGGTGGGTCTGTCTGCTCAGCTCTCGGGGACAGGGAATGGAGGGCTGTTTCATCATCATCATCATCACCATCACCATCATCATCATCGTCATCATTGTCATTGTAATTATCATCATCATCATCGTAATCATCATCATCATCATCATCACCACCACCACCACCACTATCATCATCACCGTATGTGATGCAGCGTGGTGGAATCAGGCTCTCGTCAATTTTTAGGCATGTAGAGTTATTGGTATCATCGTAAAGCTTATTCACTTGTCTTTATTAGGATGAAAAAAAAAGTGTCCATTTATCTTGAATACAAGACGAGATATTTGCGAAAGAAGGAGGTGGGGGTCACCTTTTTTCAGAGGTAAAATTAGTGAGAAAATGACCACCAAAGATTAGTCATTTCCTTATCTTAAAAGTAGGTGGTAACTGAAAATTTACATTTTTGTGCCTTTAATCCAAGCTTTTCATAAAAATCCACACAGAAATGAGTTCTTTAATGGGCATGAAAGCTGTTGAGCCAAAAAACAAAAATTTGATAAAAATTCACAAACCTGCGGAAAAGGTAGTTTCCTCACTTTGATTATTTTGACGAGAGCCTGATTCCGCCACGCTGCCTCACATATCATAATCATCATCATCATCATCATCATCATCATCATCATCATCATCATCATCATCATCATCGTCATCATCATCATCATTGTTTAAAAAAGCAGAGTAGGAGGGGAAGTCTTGCTTGATCTACAGAAAAAATAAAAAAAAAATAAAATGTTTAAAATTTGTTTTATTGAATCGGCTTGATGTTTCACCGCGTAGGCTTCCTCAGGAGCGTCTGAGAGTAAAACTAATGTGGCGCTCATCTTCATTGTATACCTGGAAAAAAATTTGAAAGTATATGGAGACTTGGGTTTTCTGGAAATGTTATGGTAATATATGCGTGAAATGTTCAATGTTTTGCCCTGTTTGGCCTTCATCAGGAACCAGTTTTTAGAAAAACAAAACTATAACATTGTAGTGTAGAGGTATTTGTGTCTTGACGTGGTGGAATCAGGCGCTCGTCAATTCTTTGGGCCTACAGAGTTCTTGTTGTTATCTTAAAGCTTGTTCATTTGTCTTGTTTTTGATGTAAACAAAACTAAAAATACACGTTTATCTTGAAAAATCGAAGAAGGTTGGGATCACCTGATGTCTGAGGTAAAATTAGCGAGAAAATGACGGCCAAAGTTTTGTGATTTCTAAACCTTGAGAGTCCTTGGGAACTGCAAGTTTACATTTTATGTGCCTTTGATCAAAGTTTCTATGTAAAATCCACTCCGAAAAATGTTTGAAAATGATGAAATGTTTGAAAATGATGAGATGTTTGAAAATGATGTAAATGGTGTTTAGCTCCACCCCTCCCTATTAAAAAAAAAATTGATAAAAATTGTGCAACGGGTGAAAAAAATGTTAGTTTCTTTGATTTCATTATTTTGACGAGCCTCTGATTTCACCACGATGCCACACGTATATTGTCATCATCATCTTCATCTTCATCATCTTCCCCGTCCTCATCAGGAGCTGTTCCCCCGCGGTTCTTCATCCTCCTCGAGAAGAAAAACGGCGTCGGAAGGTGAAGGTCACAGCTCCAAAGAGGGCCCGGCGACGCCTCGTTCTACGGTTGACCCAGATTTTGTAGTTGACCGCACCCACGACGACTTGAGATGTGGTGGCTTCCAGTATATCGAGGAATCAGGTGACGAGAGGAATTGTTAAAACGATAATAGTAATAAAATGAAGTCGAAGAAGAAGAAAATGAATAATAATAGTAATGATAATAATAGTAGTAAGATTGATTATATAATAATTGTACAAAATAATTCTTACTCTGGAGAACAAAATTACGCGTTTTTCCTGTGACAATGAGTCGGAGAATTCATTCATCATAATTCCAGGTTGCTGAAGCGTTTATTAGCGTGTTTTTGCAATACACACGTTTATTTTCTTCTTTGGGTTTATAGTGTTGTCTTTGCCCTATCTGTACGCTCTGGGATCATTTTGTACCCCGGGGTTGTATTCTTCACATTTCAGAATACTTCAAGTACGAAGATCTCTGTGAAATTTTCAGTATTATTCAAAAAATCATTTTAACAGACTGCTTATCAAAGCGTACAGATCGGATTTACGAGTAAATTTCCTCTTTAGAAAGTGGTGGCACAGAGTTTTCCACGTCGTATGGATACGATAGTAAAACACGACGTACAGATAGGGTTAAGTGGTGGCACAGAGTTCCCAACACCGTATGGATACGATAGTAAAACACGACGTACAGATAGGGTTAATCTACTGGTGGCACAGAGTTCCCCACGTCGTATGGATACGATAGTAAAACACGACGTACAGATAGGGTTAATCTACTGGTGGCACAGAGTTCCCCACGTCGTATGGATACGATAGTAAAACACGACGTACAGATAGGGTTAAGTGGTGGCACAGAGTTCCCAACACCGTATGGATACGATAGTAAAACACGACGTACAGATAGGGTTAATCTACTGGTGGTAACTTTGAACGGTAATATTACCGCAGACATTATGTTTTTCATGAGTCAGTATCCTCTTCTCTCTCCTCTCCCTCTCCCTCCCCCTCTCTCCCTCCCTCTTTCTCCCTCTCCCACCCTTTCCCTCTCTCCCTCCCTCCCTCCCCTCCTCTCCCTCTCC